CCCCTCCTCCCGGGGAGGGCCGGGGCGGGGGCCGGAAGGGGTCTGCAGGCGCCCCGGGACAGGCTGTGCTGGCCCCCGCGACCCCAGGGCGTCGCAGCTCGCCGCGGAGGATGGGCGCGGGCGGAGAGGGTGGTCAAGGAGGGCGTCGTGGAAGAGGCGCCTTTTGGGTGGGACCTTGTTGAACGCGGGATTTCACTAGGGGCGCGCCTGAGAGTGTGTGAACGGGGCGGAGCCTGGCAAAGGGACCCCTTGGGCCGAGGCCTGGAAGTTTTACCTGCGCGGTAGCTCGAGGGGACAGGTTTGGGCTAGGGCCAGGGTAGGTGGTGGAGCCAGAGGCGATGGGGCGGGGCCGTGGAGGATTTAAAGGGCGTGGAGGCCGCGTGTCTGGAAACGGGGTGGGCTTGGGGCTGGGGGAGGGCTTGGGGCAGGGAAGGCTCCTGCAGGAGGTGGGCTTTGGGCTGTGGGGGCTGGATGTGTGCCGAGTGGCACCTGTGACTTAGGGCGCGTGCCCGCTCTGGGCAGGCTCGCTGGCCTGGGACATCTGGATCTCTGGTTGGGTCCCAGGTGTTAGCTTTTTGTTCTCTGAGACTTTAGTTGGGGGGCAGGGAGGTTTTGAGGGTCCTCTGGGTCCTGGGTAGAGCTGTCCAGAGCCGCTGTCCGCCTGGAGTTTGTGCCTCCACCTTTGCCTGGGCCGGGACGCTTCCCCAATGGCATTTGCCATCCCCCACCCTGCCACGTGCAGAGCCACGAGCCAAAGCCACTTCCCTTCCCTGACACCCCTCAACCCCCCTCCCACTGACTGGACGCACATCCTGTCTCTGGCCAGATGGGCAGGATAGGGGGCCTTGAGTCACAGTGGCCTGGGGTCAGACCCAGGCTCAGCTACAGAGGCTGTCAGAGGCTGTGGAGGTGAGCGGGAGACCAGGCGGGCATCGGGGATGTCAGCTGGGTGGACCTTCGGGAATGGGTGGGGGCAGAAGGCTTCCCGGAGGAGGGCCTGTCCCACCCGGGCCTTTGCCACCAGTGCTCCTGCCCGAGCTGTTGTTTACTCGGGAGGGTGAGGGGAGCGAGCCTCCCGCCCGGTGCTGACCGGAGCCAAGTTGACATTCCTGGAATACTGAGCTGTATGTAGATTTGGGGGCGGGGGCAGCATCCTCTTGGAGAGCTCCTCCCTCCAGCTCCCAGATTTCCCAGGAGAGGCCATGGGGAGCAGAGCCGCTGCCCCGTCCCAGCCCGTGTGCACTGGCCCCAGCACACGTGTGCGCAGAGGCCCCTTGGGGCACTCGGTCCTCCCAGCTCAACTCTGCCCAGGCTGGACCACAGGACTCCGGGGGAAGCCTCAGGTCAGCCTTGCCGCCGGCCCCCTACCTGGGCCCTGAGTGGCCCTGTGTGTGTGTGTGTGTGTGTGTGTGTGTGTGTGTATATGAGAGGGGTGGGGGGAGCAAGTTGAGGCAAAAGCCAGGCTCTCTTCCGGGTGGCCGAGGGCAGGAGGGAGCCATGGAGGGGGCTCTGGTGGGGCTAGGGCTCTGCCTGCCTGCTGGGGTAGGTGGGGGCCCTTGCTTACCCTCTTGGTGTGGGGTGTCAGCACAGATGTGTCCCAGGCACAGGTTTTCCAAGAATGGGTGTCCTGCTCCCAGTAAGGGGGGGGTGCGGGCACGAGGCGGGAGAGCTGTGTGCACACGTGGTTTGGAACTCGTGAGCCATGTTTCCTGCT